CCACACCTTACCGTATGCACTATACCCTTTACACACAATTAGCCACACCCTACCGCTTGCACTATACCCTTTACACACAATTAGCCACACTTTACCGTATGCACTATACCCTTTCTACACAATTAGCCACACCTTCGCACATGCGGATTACATCCACCCACAGTTTGGTCTTCGAAAGCGCGCGGGTGTTGCCAAGAATCAGTAGGTGACGCCGTGCACGAGTGATGGCGACATTTATACGTCTGAAGGAATCAGCGAACCCCGACATCTCGCCTGTCATCACACACGACAGAACAACCACTTCACGCTCTCCTCCCTGGGAGTGGAGTGGATGAATGGATATGTGTATACATATACTGATGTGGATACTATACTCCATGTAGATGATATTTATAAAAAATGTACATGCTCATGCATTTATAGCTACACAGTCTAAATGGGGATGCTTCGGCCTTGTACAGGTGGGTACATATAACATAGTGTGAAGTGCCCGTGAGTCTCCATGTCCACGCACGCGTTGGTTTACCTCAGTCGAACTCTCTCACAGAATGTTAACACTTTAAACACCCACGAGTTGTACATACAGTGGTTTTAAACGCTTGGCATGAGCTCAATATGCAACACAGCCACGCGCCTCCCATCCTCAACCACTCACGAAGGTCACCCAGTGCAGTGTATATAACTATCAGTCACACAAACGTATAGCACACTGTGTAACTATACTCAGGAACATCTAATGCATGCGAGTGAAATCCGTAGCAGTATAACTATCAGTCACACAAACGTATAGCACACTGTGTAACTATACTCATGCACATCTAATGCACGCGAGTGAAATCCGTAGCATTAGAACTATCAGTCACACAAACGTATAGCACACTGTGCAACTATACTCATGCACATCTAATGCACGCAAGTGAAATCCGTAGCAGTATAACTATCAGTCACACAAACGTATAGCACACTGTGTAACTATACTCAGGAACATCTAATGCACGCGAGTGAAATCCGTAGCAGCACGGTGTCTGCGCACATGTACCTGAAAAGCATCGACTGTCGATACTAAAGTGCGTTTGGCTTCATCGGAGAGGTGTGCCCGGATCCTAAATTTGAAAAGTTATTGAATATGAGCACGAATACTATATTGTAGTTAAAACTGTACATTTTCGTACAATTTGCACAATATAGATTAAGAGAATGTAATTAGGTTAACGAATGAGCTGCGAAAAACCTTAGATTTTAATTTATATTGTGAACTACTTATGAAGTACTTGGGAACAACTTTCATTTGTTAAATATGGTGAACTATATTGTGAACTACTTATAAAGTACTTCATGAATGGTTTAGAACGAAATAGATATTGGACATTCTCCTATCAGAATAGTGTAATAAGGTACGAGATTATGAAGACTGATTATCTCATTTAGCCATAGTCACCGATTCTGTCTGCCATCAGTCCCCTCTGGATACTGACACAGAATCTCTATGTATCCGCCAGTTCTCAGTCTAATCTGAAGACCGTCACTGGCCATCTAAGATTCTACACTACTTTATTACTAACGCCATCGCTCCGCATATGCTCACGTTCTATCAGTATAGATACAACCCGTATCACAGAACACACAACATCATTCAAGTCCGAGTCTAACCCCTCGTACATCTCTGCTCACATCGCCCACATACAGAGTCTACATGACTCATCGTTGCACGTGGACTGCACATATATTATCATATATACATATACATACATACATACATACATACGTACATACATACATACATACAT